CTAATTCACTCTCGTGTAGTCATGTGTGACGTCATGAGATGCTGTGCGATTTTCGCTTCTAGCGTCTTATATGCGCGTGTTTATCGTTGCTTAGTGATTAACTATGTAAACAATGACAGACTATCATCACTGTCGTGTCCGTATATTGTTTAATATGTTTGTGATTTACATCTTTGCTAATGGCTTAAGTAAGCCGAAAGCTTAGATTATATTAAAAAAATATGGATCAATATTGTGAATTTCTTTCTTCGTTTAATGATAATGTTATCAAACTTATCAGATGTTACGAACAAATTTTACATAAAATAAATAGACAACACTTGTCTATATTATTTAATGAAACGTATATAAATGAAAATATGCTGCCTAAATACACTAAATATATATATATATATATATATATATATATATATATATATATATATATATATATATGAGACAGATCGGGAGAGAGATGAAGATTGTGGGCAAAAGAATCAACAGTGTATGCTGACAGTCAGTTACAACTCTCAGTACGATATCAATATTTATAAACACTGAAGAAGTAGCGACTTTGATAATTCTATTGAACTTTTGATCGCCTAGATTGGCAGACGTAAATTTCACAGTTTTTAACTAAGCAAGTCTACTGAAACACGAGTATCCAGTAAAATAATGTTTATAGTAATAAAAATATTGTTGGGGTGAGAAAAGATCCATTAATTGCTTAAATCATATATATATATATATATATATATATATATATATATATATATATATATATAATATATGAACAACTGTTAACAACAAACCGATTGAAAATAGCTAAAGAAATGGCCGAAAAACGCGTGAGCAATAGATACTGCGGGCACATTTTATACTCTTACACCCACCAAACAGAAAAATGTAAGAATATTATAAAAATAAAATAAAATAAAAAGTTCATCAAATTCTTCTTGTTTTCATATTCAAGGAAACTTGTTTGAAAGAAAGATTGCTGCCCAAATATATTATTATATATATATATATATATATATATATATATATATATATATATATATATATATATATATATATATTGAGTGCTCGAGAAATTTCGTAGAAAATATGTTGACTCCGACATTTCTCGAATATTCAAACCGGTAAATGTGAATATTGTTTAATTAAAAAACAGAGCATTTACTTAAATAAACTGTATCTATAGAAATAACGTATAAACAAACTATATTAAAATAATTTGCGGACTTAGTCCATTTCATGATATATATATATATATATATATATATATATATATATATATATATTATGAAATGGACTAAGTCCCAAATTATTTTAATATGACATAAATACTATTTAGCTACAGAGGAAGCGTCTAATTATTAAGGTCAAATTACTTGTTTTTGCTAACAAGACGCTTCCTCTGTAGCTAAGTAATATAGCACCTCAGACCATCAGTTCCGTGTAGGATACGGATTCAGTTTCGGAGGACATATATCTTCTACGAAATTTCTCGAACATTCAGGCTGGTAAATGCAATTAATACTGTTTATTATAAACATAACATTTACTTAAATATCTGTATCTATAAAAATAAATATATAAACAGTATATATATATATATATATATATATATATATATATATATATATAATGCTACTAAGGTCAACATCGAACAAAAATATATTAAATATTTGACGGATTTAATCTATTTCATATATATATATATATATATATATATATATATATATATATATATATATATATATATATATAAAATATATATATATATATATAAAATATATAATTTTTATATATATATATAATATATATATATATATATATTTATATATATATATATATATATATAAAAATATATATATATATAAAATATATAATTTATATATATATATATATATATATATATATATATATATATATATATATACATATGAATGTTTATATTGTAATGTCATCCCAACCCATTACAAAAATCATACAAAATTTTGCTTATCTGGTTACTGATGACCGTTGTCACCTTCAAAGTACTCTCCTGGTTGTGCACGATTAATGCTCTCATTAACTTCATATCTTTTGTAGCTCGAAGCAATATTTGCCTTTTTATTATCTATCCAACTCCATGATCTGAAAAGAAGTTAAAAACAAAAACAAAAAATGCATTGGAGAAATTGTTTAATTAAAGTAGGTTCCATTTGATTGAACACATTATAATGTGTTTAATCACATGAAACATACCTTGACATTACATTAGCATTTACACCTTTAATATATGAAATAAATGTTTTTAAATTCAATATCACAATGAAAAGGTTAGTGCGTCATCATAACAGAAGCAATGTTTGTACAACAGGCAGTGAAACAACGTCTATTGCTATGTTTCTTCTCAGATGACCTACTTGCGGAAAAATATGCTGTTCCAGTATTGGTCTAATCAGCCACACAAGAACCCAAGTAACATTAAGGGAACCGGTAGACATCATCTGAAAAGAGTTGTCGACAAGTTTTCTAATCTAGAAGAAATTCTTTTCTGATGGGGAATTTTAAATTTACGCGGGAATTTGATTGAGTCGTTTTTATGGTTTATCAACCCTTTGAAGGTTATTTAAACTTAGAAAATATGTTTAGATTGTAAGAATTTTTTTGAGACAATAATGATTTCAGTGATACAAGTCTTACTAATTAACCCATATCTGGGGGAGATAAGTTTTTCTAGGGATATTTGCGCGGAAGTAAATATAAGAAACCCTAGTGGAATTGGAGCTCGGTTTTCTGATTAAAAATTCTAAGCCATTATCTGTTACATCACTTTCACATCCAACTTTACAACACTTGGTATTCCCAAGCGGTTACCCATCTACTATTTAACCCATAGCTGGGGAAAGAGGCACATGTGTATGTGACTGTAACAGAACCAACTGGAATTCATACTCAGCTTTTCGATTTCTCATTTTGAAATCTTTCACACGACTTCTGATATTCTTATCTAATTAATTTATTTTTTCTTCTCACTTTATATCAAAAGGAATTTCGTATAGGCTCGCTATTTTTTTTTACTCTGTCTTCTCCTCAGTCCTCAGAATCTAAATGGAGTAGGTAAAAAGTGTTATTGCTATTTCGCACTCACTACAGGTTGATAACTCCAGAAGAGAAAAAATTACAATAAATTTTAAGTATCCATAAATCTGATAGACAACACTCTGCCTGCAGTAAATTGCCTTTTTGTTTTTAGCATAAATGTAATAAAAAAAAGTTATTACCTTCAGAATAACATTACTGATAAATAAACATTGCTATATATTTGGATTCATATAAACACATGAACGATTTGTTAAGTAGGTAACTTTGATAATGCCGGCCTCAGGATTCGATCCCTGTGTGCGTCACCGATGGAAAGTACCTGAAAACCATGCCATGGGTTGACCCAAGTCTTGTTAGTAAAACTGGGTCAAATAAACTGTTCAGAAGCTGTCATTGTTTGTGGTAACATAAAAGTTCAACGTCATCGTGGCCGAGGGTTGACGCGCACTAGCCTTGTTCAGCTACCGATCGTGCTATTTTATGCGCTTTCTCCCATAAACTATAACTAAGGCCCATATAAACCACAAGTTGACTCTGTTGGTGTTGAAAAACACAAATGTAACTGAGCAGGCATCTGCAACAGAGATTAATCAGCCACCCTAGAAGATAGGTATATTCGGAAACGAACATCCATTATTATTATTATTATTATAATATCCCCCCCCCCCTAGAAGACGTGTATATTCGGAACACATGGCACAGTGGATAAAGGCGTTAGTTAGATTCAGTGACAGGACCCAAAGAATGTGAGTTCAATACCCGGTTAAGGCAGTGGAGAACTTGGAGAGGGGAATTAACAAGAAATAACTGACAACTGGCATCCATTAAACATGTCAAGTGGAACTAGAACAGTTTACCCCAGTGAGTGAAATAAAGGGTTCAATTCGACATTCCACCTGAAGAAGGCCGGAGCATACAACGGCCGAAACGTTGTAATAAATATGTCGACAAAGATGAGAACAATAGTCCAAATAATGTAAATGGCGACAAAGATGAGAACAATAGTCCGAATGATGTAAATAGTATCCATTATTATTATTATTATTATTATTATTATTATTATTATTATTATTATAGCCACCCTAGAAGAACATCCATTATTATTTTTATTATTGGTGTATGTTATGTTTCCTGTTTTGTATCCTGTAGAGCTGGGTCCAAACTATGGTCCTTAGGCCCTATAGGTGAATTGTCATTTAATTGATAGCACTTTTCTTAGTAATATGGGATGTTCCTAGTAGGGCGATCTTCTGAGCAACTTGTATGTTGATGTGACCTGGGACACTGTTAGTACAATTGTTCATTCCTTTTCTCACGAGGCCCAGAGCTCAGATTACTATTGGTACAGTCCCAATCTTCATTCCCCACATCCTGTTAATCTCGATTTCCAGGTCCTTGTATTTGGACAATTTCTTGATAATTTTTATGGAGGTGTTTTTCTCAGATGGTACTGCTATGTTACTAAGCAAATACTTTCTGAATTTCTTGTCTTTTATGATAATATCAGGTCTGTTGGCTTTTATTTCCCTGACAATTTGAATTGGCATATCCCAAAGGATAGTTACATCTTTATTTTGTGTAATTGTGTTTGGTTGGTGCTTATACCATCTCTCAGTGGTTTCGATTTTGTGCTTCTTGCATATCTTCCAATGGACATATGTATTATTATTATTATTATCATTATTAAAATACACAGACGAAAGTGGATAAAAAAATAAGCCCATAGCGTAATTATCAATTGAATTTTGATTTGCAATTTTCAGTGTATTATTAGATCTATTTTATTAAACAACACGCATTGGATTAAGTGCACTGTCACAGTAGGAGATTATGCCACAAAGTAGACGTTTTTTGTGCAATTCTTTTTCATCATTCGGTTACAGAATTATTGAATTACCGATATACACAGATTAGATTGTAGGCGTATGGCCATATAACGTTGAAACACCGGTTCTCGTACAATCACTGAAGTTAGGAAACGTCGAGCCTGGTCAGTACGTAGATGGGTGACCACTTGAGAATACGAGGTTCTGTAAAGTTGGATGTGCGTGTGATGTAATGGACAGCAGCTTAGAATTTGAGATCGGAGAGCCGTGTTCCAATTCCTGTTGGGTTCGTTTTATTTATATTCACTTACGCACAAATACCCTTGGGAAAGGTATGAATCCACCACCCCATCCCAGTTTTGGGTTAATTAGTAGAACTTGTATCAGTAAGTCATTATTATCTCCAAAAAAATCTTACAATCTAAAAATATCTTCTAGCTTCAAATAACCCACAGAAGGTTGATAAACCGTAAAGGACCCAAACAAATCAATCAGATTACATTTTGATTAAGTAAATTTAGTTTTATTTGGTAGAAAGCAACATTTTCAGGACACGGCATTCAGCGAGGATCGAATTTTTTACATTTGAGAATTGGTTTGTATTTAGATGGATGACTTCCTAGTAATACAAGTTTCCCTCGCTATCCGAAAGGAGGGCGTTCCTGTGAAATATTTCGTTTTTGATTATTATTATTATTAATAATAATGATTTATGTGGGAATATTTTTGGCGTGAGATTAACTGGTACGATGATAATAGGAAAGTATGTTAAATTTTGAAAGGGCGTGTAGAGTTAGAGCAGATTTGCGAGATATTTTGAGTACCTCTAAAGAACTTTATGATAGAACAATCAATGAAGCATATTTCAAGATTTCCACAAGCTTTGTTAGATTCAACCAACAAAAATTTGTTTCTTGAATTTTTCATCTTATTTTTCTAATTTTCTAATAAGATCCTGTACATGGGGATCAAAACTGTGGATAAAGTTTTATGTCGACTGTCCTAACTAAGACTTACTCGAAAATGCTACACGAAGCCAAACAGCTCTCCTTATTTGTCCTGACCATTTCCACTCGCTTCGGATGTTCTTTTCAAAATGTATCGACCAAATCAAGCTTGGTGACAAATTAATTTAATATTTTTACATAAGAAGGAATGAACGTACTCTTATTATTTCTACTAATGAGCTAGGGTAAATAGTAGACAGGAGAGTGAGCAAAAAGACCAATTTTACTAAGAGCTACAAATTGACAGAAGCACTTTAAGAAAAATAAAAAAATAAAATAAAATAAAAATTGATTACTATTTAACCTGAATAAGATAAATAATTAACAAAAAATAGTAAATAGAAGAGTGGTGAATGTTAATAATTATTGTTAATTTATAAAAATAGTAAATACGAAACCATAATATTGTAATTGATAATAATTAATGTAAGAAGAAAAGTAAAGATTTTGATTGATAAACAGAATGAAATATGGATAAAGACAAAATGAAAACTTATCCCAACCGACAAATGGAAGAATTTTATTTTGCAACAAGTATTTATAAACAAAAGCAAAAATGTTGTTAGTTTTTCAAAATTTTTAAATTTAAGAGATGCTCATAAGTATTTACCAGGTTAGCCGAAAAGTCTAGGTAAATTATGGAGGATGCTAAGTAATGTAATTTATTATTTCATTTTTTTGTTTTTTGTTTTGTTAAAGTGCTTCTGTCAATTTCCTGTCCTTTGTAGCTCTTAGTAAAATTGGTCTTTTTGTCAGGTAAGTGGCTTGCTGCCATCCCCTGTCTCTCTTGCCCTCTATGTGCCCCGTGAGGTTTAAGTTTTCCAAGCCCTCATTATATGTCCAAGGAATTTCAGCTGTCTTTTCCTGATTCTTAGGCTGTCTAAACTTTCATATTATAGTTTATTGAGACCATAAGTTAGTCTGAGTTCGACGAAATTGAGGATGGCTGAATACTGGCAATCAACTCATCGTTTTTGCATGCGAAAGATTTTTAGAATCAGCTAATACACTGAAACAGAAATTAACATGGTGTTGGATTTCAGAATAAAGTGGTGGGACAATTTCTAAAGTAGAATTAGGTCGTTTGCCGCTGATTGTGACCACCAATTCAACTTAGATAAACAGCACAGGCAGCAATCGAACCACGAGCAGATATGGCTGTCAAATTTGGAGATATCGGCCAAGTAGTTAGAGATAAGGCAGAGCTGGCCTCTTTTCTTAACAGGAAGAACCAAACTTTCACAGAGCTAGATTAGAAATATCAGCCAAGGCAGCAAGTATGACCGCAAAATTGCATGCAAAACTCCAGAATGCTACATTTCAACGTATCGTCTCATCGCCGGATGGATGATGTTTAACTACGAACGAAGGCATCTGTGAAGAATTTTCAGACTATCAGAAAGATTTCCCCAAGGAGCCCAGTCTAGTATCTGCTCCGTTTGATGCTTTAATTGCTGACCTCATTCAACTGGATTAGTAATTTTCGACCCTTAACCGAAGATTTAAACTTAAAATGATTAAACGCTGAGAGTTGTCTGATAGCCCCGAATAAACTTGTCAAACAGACCTAGACAACATGAACGACCTCGATCTTACCCCGTCCACTATCACCATAGTTTTTTTTTATGCATTTCACTCCAAGCAAGGCGGGAGTGCTACTAGCACGTAAGGGGTTACAGAGAGTGGGAGCAAGAGTAAAGAGGCGTGAGAGAGGAAGGGATGAAGAGAAGGACGGAGAATAGATGAAGGCATTTGGAGATGTCGCTTGACATTGCATTTGAAAGTTATAGCTATCAGGGAAGCCAGTAAGAGGAAGAGAGTTCCACAGACAGGAAGTGCGAGACATGAAGCTATTGGAGTAGAAGAGACGGCTACATTTAACCGTTTTGACAGTGAAAGGTTGGGACTTAGATGCCAACCTAGTAGCACGTTTAAATTCATGCAGTTTGGGAACCAGCGAATGTAGCTCGCCGGAGCAGTTACCGTGAAAGCATTTGTAGAAAAGACAGAGGGAAGCAACGGCACATCTGTGAGAGAGCGACTGTAAACGAGATGCCAGATCAGGGCCAATCACATTGCATATCCGTCTATGGCTTTTGTCGAGCACCTTAAGGCGAACAGCGGGGGCACCAGACCATATATGGCAGCAGTATTCCATGCAAGGGCGAATGGTTGAGTTATAGATTTGAAGGATGGACTCGGGCGAGAAAAAACTTTTATGATCTTCAAAAATTTAAATGCAACGTCAATCGCCCTCTGTTGTCTTAATGAATCCTGATCATTTTTGTCTTACTAACATCTTCTCATTTTATTTCACTATCAGTACCCCCCCCCTTACGTCGTAGTGGCTTTATCACCTTTCTAGGGTTGAAATTGTTTGAAAAAAAATGGTTATCTTTGTTCTACTCTTCATAGCAAATATCGGCAGCTGGTTTCAATTCTAAATTTCGCTCCTGGATATACTTAGAGTATGCTACTTCCAGATCGAAACCTTTCATGTTGTCTAAATCTCTTTATTAAGACTTTTGCCCTTTGCTGCACGCAACTGAGATAGAACCTTTCCTGCACAAGTTGAGGGGGGGGATCCTGTCCCGCGTTCTATACTTGTAACAAACAATGTCAAAATTAAAGAAGTCCCCTCACCCACGATGCGACCGTGACGGGTAAAAATGAACTGTGGTAAACCTGTTGTTTTGTGATTGGGCGCGTAGAGAGACTTTTCTCTCCTCGGTCCGTTCAGTTGGTGGAATGGCTTGTGCAGTATTCTCGGCGTCTGATTCGGACATGATCTCCAACTGGGGAAGAATTAATCGGTGATATTTCCGAAGGTTGATGCTGAAGTTAATCTACGGTTTCGGTTTATTGATTTCTTTGTTTCTTTATGGCTTATCAACATTTTGTAAGTTATTTCAAGTCAGAAAATATTTTTTAGATTGTAAGAAATTTTTGGTGCTAATAATAGTTTACTGATTCAAGTATTACTAATTGATTGGGGGTGGGGAGGAAGAAGCAGGTGGATTCATACCTGTCCTAAGGGTATTTGCGCGAAAATGAATATAACGAACACGGCTGGAATTAGAACTCGGTTCTCCGATTTCGAGCCGTTATCCATTACACCACCCGTACATTCAAACTTGCAGAACCTGGTCTTCCCAAGCGCTCACCTACATAGATACTGGCCTTTTCTACTTCTATTTTAAACGTTTTCTACGCGCGCGCAAAAAAACAAAACAAAAAAAAACATAAAAAACAAACAAACAAATCGTAACCCCTGTTCTTAAACATTTACCAAAATCATTGAAAATTTCCGCATTTATTCATAAATTTAAATTTATGAAATTTATATTGAATATTATTTTACTTCTGGGAATATTTTTCCATATCAGCGATACTCCACTTAAAAAATAATATCAACTGTGAACAGGCTCAAAAATATGGTCTGAAATCTTAAGAGAATTCAAGAAAACTCAAAAATATTTTTGTGGAGAATAACTGGCATCTAATTTTAATAATATATATATATATATATATATATATATATATATATATATATATATATATATATATATATATATATATATATATATATATATATAAAATCCACATTTTAAAACTCTTCGTGTTTTGTTTTTTATATGAAATAAAGATATGTTTGAAGAATCGAAAAATATAGTTTAACGCCATTTTAGTGTGTAAATTAAAAAAAAAAATGATTTTATTCATTTTTCATTTTACAACCGTTTTGATTTTTTATCCTGCAGAAGATCAAAAGTGAAAAACAAAAATCCAATTCTGAAATATATCCCGTGTCATAAACAAAAAATAACTGCTTTTTTCAGGACTACCAAAAATTATTGAGAATTTTGATTAATCTACTGATGTGGATAGTATTTTTGTTCGTTCAATAAAGTGCTTCTTTTCTTTATAATAACATTTAAAGATACAATAAAGATAAAGAAATCATTTGAATATTATGGAATAAGTTAAGAGATTGTAACTGACCTGAAAAATATATCCTCAATGTTTTGTCATAGAATAACTTTTTAATAAAAAAAAATTACTTCATTAATGAATATGTGTTGATGTTTTATTAAAATCAGATAATTCCTTAATTTTTGGTTATTTAAAAAAAAAAACTTCTGGATTAGAGTTTTTATAATAATGTGTGTATGCGTGAAGGTCTAACACGGTGGAGTAATGGA